ACGCCTGGGCCCACTAACAAGGAGAATCAAACTGTGGAAATCTACGATCAGCTCGTTGAGTTGATGGAGCTTGCGGGTCGTATAGTGGAAGCTAGAGACAGCCGGCAAGCACCAGCGAGTCTTCATAAGAGAGACGGAGCGGGTAGCGAAGAAGATGCGTATGTTCAAAGCACCAACCTCGATCGCCAATTGCAGAATTGGTATAGGCGGTTGCCGGAACATTTGCAGTGGAAGCCTGCCAACATCAAGCATTCACCGTTCAGCTACTTCCTTCTTCACCAGCAATATCACGTGTCGATGATATTGCTGCACCGTTCGTGGGCGAATTACGAAGAAGTTTCTGGCGATACCATTAGCACTGACGCAAACCTTACGCCAAACTCGAACCCTGACTCCAAAGACACATCCGACCATCATCAATTCAATCACTCCCTAGGGACGAACATGTCACAATCAACCACAGACACAGGCCGAGTTGCATCATCGCGCAGTATCTGTAGTTTCCATGCGATTAGAGTGGCTAGAATCTTCTGGCAACACCGACAACGTTTTGACGGTACCAAGATATTCATCACCGGCATTCAGCACGCCGGTACTGCAGCAATTGCTCTGATTGCGGCACTGGCATATCACCGTTGCGAGTCTGATAGGCGAACGTACCTCGGATACCTAGAGATTCTGGCCAGCGCTATCAGCGACATGAGTCAAGCCTACCAGCCAGCAGCACGCATGGACAACCTACTGAAGGCGGTGCTTGAGAAACTCCGGACCGACAACGACAGTCTCGACGGTGCCAGCCAGCCGCCTATCATATTGACGGGCAGCGAAAAGAGTCTCCTTTCAAGCCCTAGCTGGAGGGGCAATACGGACAGCATCTACTCCGTTCTACCAGCTAGACGTGAGGCGGAAGTCAGGAACAGCCCACCGAATAAAAGACGTCGCCCATCGACGAGCAGTCGAAGAGCGTCCGAGTTCGCTCGCCCGCCCTTACCTTTCTTCGGCGCCAAGACACAGTCGTCTACACGCAGGTCGTCGCAGAGCAACGTGTACGCAAACATCAGTTCTCCGTTGGAGCCCGCGGCGTACGTTCCAAACGGAAACGATCATCAGCTATTCAATCTAGACTTTCTCAATGGTTCGGCGATAGATAATGATAGAGAAGACGAAGCTTCGGATGCCAAGAGCAAACCTGTGGAGGATTGCATCTTTGTTTCGCCACTGTCCAATAGCTGGGCACAGGACAATACGACCAACGGTAACGCATCGCCGTCTCAAAAGGCGAATCTGCGGTATGGCGATTTAGAACTGAACGATTGGGAGTCTGGAGCATCCGGGATCGGTCTTGAGTCACTGTCCAGCTTCCAGCTCAGTGGTGGAGGGGAAAGTAGCCGGGAAACCCAGCAAAAGGTCCACAAAGATGAACCCACCCAGAGCAGTCTCAAGAGCGAGGCCAAGGGCACAGTCATGGATCAAGGAGGTTTCGGGCCCTTTGGCCATGAGGCCATGGACTGGATGGGTACCGATGGTGGCCTGGATACCATGACCTCTGTGAGTCTGATTGAGCTGGTGCAGAGTTCCATTGCTGGTAAGGCAGAGAGGCGTCCGGCGGACGAAGCGCCCAGAAACCACGAACTGGACTTTTTGAGCTTCTGAGTCGACCTTATCGCATGGGAACACAGACCCGGTTCTTCTTCTTTAGCATCCCCCCTCTTTTTCTCTCTCTCACTCTTCGTTACTCCATCTTGGGCGTTGGTAGTTCATGGAGTTTGCGGGCTTGGTTCGTTTCTTGACATTTGTACCTGAGTACTCCTTACATAGCGTTGTAGGTAGGGATGTGCCGGCTGTGAAGCATAATTGAATAGATGTCTTCTTTTGTCAACTACGTGTCCTAGAGCCATCGAAACAAGTGACACAAACTACTCAGATTCTCTCACATTGTCAAGATCACCACGATAAAAACCACCCGCCCTCATCTCACGCCTTCCATCCCACCAACAAGACTAATGAGCCGTAAACCCACCATCAGCAACCAACCCAGACCCCTGCATAAAACTACTCATATCAGAAGCAAGGAACGTGATACCTGGATCAAGAGCCCGTCAGTCCAAGTACCAAATCAAAGATACCGTACTTTAATCAAGATACATAGTTAAAAAAGACATCAAGAAAGCAATGACAGTAAAGACTCACAATCAGCAATCTCCTCAGGCTGACCCAACCGCTGCAAAGGCGTCATCTCAACATACTGACTCAGTGGGCTCCCTGCCTCGCGCGAAAAGGGCGTCACGATGGGCGTCTCGATCCAGCCGGGACAAATCGCGTTGATGCGGATGCCTCGTCGGCCATAGTTGTTTGCGTCGCTCTTTGTCAGGCCCATGACTCCTATTGTGGTTCTGTTTTAGTACCTTTACTATGTGAAGTGCTTTGCCATGTTTCTCTTTCGAAAGAGGTAAGGTGAAAGGAAAAGGGTAGGGGGTGAGTTGGCGACGTACCGTGCTTCGCAGCCGAATACGCCGTCTGCGCCATGAAAAGCGAAGGCGAGACGACGCCAAAGATGGAAGCCACGTTGATGATGGCTCCTCGACCGCGTCTCACTCCAAGGTCCCTTAGGCAACACGAAATCACATTAATACCAAGAAGATATCATCATACTCACCACGAGACATCCGAGCAAGTACCATGGAAAGAGACGAAGAAAGAAAGAAACATACTCTTGCTCCAACATAACCCTAATCTCCTCCCTCTGACACCTCCACACCCCGTACAAGTCAACATCCACAACCCCGCCAAACTCTTCCTCGTCAACCTCGTGCGTTAACCCCCCCTTGCCTCCGATCCCCGCGTTATTCACAGCCACATCGAGGCGCCCGAAGCGGGATACCGTCTCCGCGATGCCGGCTTTTACTTGGGCGGCGTCGCGGACGTTCAGGGGAAGCGCGAGGACCTCGGTGGAGGGGTACTTCTCGCCGAGGAGCGATTTCGTGGCCTCGAGGGCTTGGGTGTTGATGTCGGTCAGGGCGAGGCGGGTGATGCCGTTTCGGGCGAATGCGAGGGCTGTTTTCTGGCCGATGCCTGTGTTTTTTTTTGTACTTTGTGTCAATGAGGGAAGCGTTTTCTACGTTACTGAAAGGATGCAGGGTGTGGAAAATGCTGTGTGCAAGTCTGTAAGTAAAGGGGAAGTTGTCAAAAACGTACCAGAAGCCGCGCCGGTGATGAAAGCCGCACCACGGAGAAGAGACGCCATGATGAAGCTTACTCGTTTCGCACTCGGTCACGCAGATCCGACAACGGCTATTGAAGGTATATATGAAGGCTTGTAAACACTAATCTTGGGTCTCGACGCTTTATGTGTGGGTTACTGGGCAATCCGGAGTGTGTGGCAGCAATACCAACTTATATGAGAAACACTAGGATAGATAAGTTCACGTACTTACGCAGTACATCTGAACAAAAACAAAAACAAAAAGACAGAAAGTTGAAATGGGCTGGTGAGACATTCTATGTCAATCCGCATCCACATCCTCATCTCATCAAGGAAAACACACGCACCTAAATTTCCTCGGCGGTGACATCGTGTGCGAAAGGTGAGGCGGGAAGATCGCGGAGAAGCATACCCAGCGTAGCTTCCCGCGCGGGTCTGCCCACACACGGGATGGACCGCTCCCCGCAGGCCGCAGGATAAGGAAATCCCCGTGTACGGAGTATTAGCAGAACCTCGAACTCCTTCTGTTGGAGGTCGCTGTTCAATCACCTCCTGTCACGCCATTCCCAAGTCCCCCTCTCTAATGAGGAGGTGGCACAGGGAGATCAAGATAGCGAAGGGTCGAGTGGGACGGAAGCTCCTACGGTCAAGGACACTGTTACGGTGCTCATCCCCCGATCACTCGCATGCCAAGTACGTCTTTATTTTTGGAAATGGTAGTTTGCCCCCTTGACGATATTCTCAAATGCTATCTTTGAACTATCAATTGGACTAAAAGAAGGATTCATTCGCCACCAATAGCCTCTCCTTAACCCGTACTACCTGATAGAATGGATTTAACCAGCCCTTTCGCACCCGCTGTTCCAACTATGGAAAAACAATGCTTGTATCAAGGAAAAACCCCTCATAGCACACATTTACCAGCTTTTGGAAGTCAACACTCGTCGACTTTGTTTAGACATTAATGAAAGAGGTTCGACTCCAAGTCTCAGCTTGCGGTTTGCTCAGCAGGCAGCAACTCCAAGTTGAATACAGCCGGAGAAAAGATATGGAAATCCTCCAATGGCGACTCTGAAATCAACGCAATTAAAGATGCCAGGTTCCATGCCCCGTCGTGCATAGAGAGTTATACCGCCCTCCAACCCAGAGAACAATAAGATGGAGTATCGCGAGAATAACGCTTCCTCGTAAGCCCCAAGTCCAGGGTAGTCCGTTGGACAGACGTCTCCCGGTTTCCCGCTCATATGGCGTTATCGACCGCGTGCCGGCCCCGGCAAGGCCAAGATCAAGAGCAGCCAAAATCACCAATGGCGCCCCAATGTTTGGACTTACTACGTACGGCCAGCAAGGACGTGTCAGGCTGAGCATTTTGCTCAGAAAGAAGCCGAGACGCACAACCGCCAGTAGAGGTCCGGCATTGTAGCGCATAACCTGACCTGCTCGCAACCGGCTAATCATGAGTCTGTGCCGCAAGGCTTCCAAAGGTGTAGCAGGGGGTGGCATCAGGAGCGGGGGCGAGCTCAGAGGTTCGTCTTTTAGGGAATCCACACTTTCATCTCGCTCGGATGTCGTGCGGATAAAGCTATCTTGGCTGCGTTGAGCCACCATTACCTGCGCTTGCGGTCGTAATCTCGGGGAGCTGGAGTCCGATTGTCTCCGTAGGCCTGCCGGCATGTCCGAAGTGGGAGAGCCGCTGTCTGCTGCCCTGCTAGGGATGTTGTACCCTTCCTGAGACGAGGAGAACCTCGACTGCTTTTGTGGATCTGCGACCAAGTCAGTTTGATAGATAGCGTCATCTCTAAAGGGTTATGAGCCACCAACCTGGCACGGGGGTGCTTGGCGGCATTGGGGAGTCCAGACTCTGTATCCGGCGTCCGTTGATTCCCATGGACGGACTCGAACTCCTACCTCGAGGGACGCCATCCATGGTCGACTCCGTCTTCATAGCTGATAGAACTTCACTCGCGCTAGGCCGCTGCAACGGATCCAGAGCAAGAAGCTTCTTAAGAAGATGGTATAACTTTGACGGAAGATCTGGGCGTTCTCTGCGTTCGTCTTGGAAGCCTTGCCAATCTGTAATCTCCGCTCGTAACTCGTCGATATCTTCGAGCTCTTCGTTGATGGTGTTGGCACTGCGGTATGGCAAACGACCGAAACACATAAAGTAGAGAATCATGCCAAGAGAGAAGATGTCGGACTTTGTGGTGAAATTACCGTAACGCCCGGTCGTCAAGTCTCTCCTCAACACCTCTGGCGCGCAATACGAGATGGTCCCGGTGGATCCAGTCGACTTGCGGACCATGTTCTCGGATTGAACCTCACCAAAGTCGCTGATCAAGCAGATTATGCCGCTACCCTCTCGATGCAGGAGACAGTTACTTGGCTTCAGGTCCCGATGAATGTAATTGGCAGCATGAAGGTATGCCAATCCCGAGGTGATGTCTTTGAATAGCGAGTAAATCTCCTCAAAGGACAGCAATCTTTGCGAAGCAAACTGGTCGCGGGGCAGTTCAAGCTGTCCTTTTGATTTCCGTCGCATCTGAGCTTTGAGCTGTTCCTTGGTCGTTTCCTTGGGTTGGTCCCCAATGATGTAGTTGAGCAGGTCGCCACCATTACAGTATTGCTGAAGAATGAAAGCGCACGCCACGCTGGGACCGAAGCGTGTCAGCTTGACGTCCTCGAGCCAGACATGGCGGTAAGAAACCAAGTTTGGGTGAGAGAGCTTGGCGAGCAGCTCGACTTCAATGAGAACTAAGAGGTTCAGGATCAGTATTCAGTTCTGAAGAATAGTAGCACATGCACTCCGTACCTTTTTCCAGCCACGCGTGATCGTCGCCTACAGGCACGCGCTTACACGCAAAGTGACCTATCCATCATCAACATCTCGACATGAATTCAATCGCTCATGACCCATACCAAGTTGACAACCATCAATTTCGTGGCGGACAAGCAGCACCACACCCTTGCCGCCACGCCCAAGCTCCTTCTCCTCGATGAAGAATGTTTTGAAATAATTAGGACTGAAAGCCTCGCGGCGGATGCGGCTGCCCTCCTGGACCGAAGGTGTACTCGAAACGAACTCGGCGTCCTCGGCTTCCTCGATTACGGCAGCTTGCGGGTGGGGTAAGCTTGGTTGCACAATGCGACGAATGGGGCTGGGCGGGGGATGGTGGTCGGCGCGAGAGTCGTGGCCGCCGGCTCGGAGCATGCGAAAGTAATTCGGGTCGACAAAGGAATCATGATGGCGAGCGCTGTCGAATTGGCGTTCGGGAGAGGACGATCGCAAGGGCTGGCGGCATGTCGGGCATTCGGACAGACCGCGGATCTCGAGTCTCTGGGAAGACGGGTCACGGACTACTATAGCGTTGCGGTGCCGCCTAAAAGAAAGCACTGTCAGCAAGATGTATGATTTGACCAAGAGAAAGCGAAAAGAAAGTAGACCAACAGGACGATTTCGCGACCTTCGCGCGGGTGGTATGGGATCAGCGACATGGCCGGTCGATCTTGGTATGCTACACTGGGGTCGTCGGACCAACAGAAAGGTCTAGATCATGGCCCAAAGGAGGGCAGCTGTGATGTTTGCTTGTTCGCCAGACGGATAGGCCACTTCAGTCGGGTGTCTGGGAAAGATGGGGAAGTGGCATAGGCTGCGAGGGCCAGCGTAGGCCTGTCGGAGGGAATCGCGATGATGGGTGAAGCTTCAAGGAGCTGTGAAGGTAAGGCGAAGCTCTTGGGTGAGTCAGGATAAGGTGCAGCTCGAGGTGGTGTCAAGGTGACCAGGTGTACAGGTGAGGAGTTGCAGGTGAGGTAAGGTGAGGAAGGTTGTTTTGTTGACATTCCACTTCAGTGAGTGACCTCACACTGTCAATGGAGCCACCCAGATACCCCACGTGCCCCGCCCCGGAGCGTTCGAACCGCTCTGTGGGGCGCCCATGACTGCCGGACCAGAGGAACCCACACTGTGCCACTGCCACTGCCACAGAGCATCGAACCTAAGTAAACAAATGCAATCACCAACGGATCAAACAACAAATTCATTGCCATGTTTTCAATTGCTAATACAGAACTAGGTTTCTGTTTGTTCATGAAATCATTGAAGGGGCTGAATATCTGGTGATTTCCAGTTTCAGTCAGGTGCCGTGCGATTTACTTCTCCAGGACGGCAATGCCTCGACGAAATTGCGCTGGGCTTATTCAGCTTGTTGAAGTTGTCAGGCAAAAACACACAATATCTGCAAGGAAAAGATACATGAGGTAGATGAGTCTTCTGTACGTATCTGAGATCTCACAATGCGAGATACGATGTTTATCTGCAGCTTCTACTTGAAACATGCTAAGTTGTCATGAGAAGTATTTGTATCTTTCCCAAAGACAATGCAACCCTCTGTCAGAATTATACCTAGCTCACAGCACCTCCCCAAATAGTCCAAGGAATCGATTCCACAATGTGCTACTGTTCTTCTTATAATTTCGAGACTTGTGTTACAACCCGCCGTTGTACTGTATCAAGGGCTTCGGGAGACCGTCGACTAGTGAGCTTCTCCCCCCCTGACCAGACAACGACGATCCTCTCCAACTCCATCAACACCAACCCCCGGCACCGAGGTGAAATGACCAGGGCAGTATCTGGCGCAGTGACAGTCACACTCTGCTGGGCCAGCTCGGGCCCGTCACCAGGGGTTTGAAACAAATAGAGCCTACCTACGGCTACGGATACAGCTATGGAACCCCCCACGGCATATTCGCAACGGGGCAGCACGGAATTCGTATTAAATCGCACCAGCGAACCCTTCACCGCGACTCAAAACATCCCCAACCTGGCAACCCCCTCAACCCCCGGCTCAAACCCTGCCGTCATCCACCTTTAGTATCTTCACCGCCGCGCTCAACTCCCGACAACGCAAAGGAAAGCGTGGATGTGTCAACGCAAGGTCTTCATCCACCACCGTTGTGGCCACAAGATCACCGAGCTCATTGAGCAGTGCGAGACGTTTGAGTGTCCCGGCGTCACGCAGAAACCCGTCATCAGTAACCGCTATACCTGCATCGTGCGGACTTGTATGTGGTACGGCCAGTTTTGAATTGAATATTTGGTGTGAGAGAGGGAGAAAAAAGAGTATCTCCTGTGTAAGTGGACTACTTCATGATATTCTGGGCTATGAGCAGAGGAAACGACAGGTTCTTACAATCACGTTCACTAATAATTTGACTTCGCGTTCAGCTCGTGCAATTAGATAGAACAGCATCAGAAATCCTTCATCAACCCAGCATCAACTTCTAGTTGAATTCAATTTCCAGCTACCTAAACCCCTACCTCGACGTCCAATCCGAGTCCCGTCTGTGCCTTGCATTAGCGACGTGCATCTCTAGTAGCGTCTTTCCAACACTAGAGCGATCCATCGCGCAAGTTTGTTTGATGGTCTAGTTCAGATAAGGCAGCTCAACATCGGTTAAAACCTGCCTGTCGCATTAAATGGTTGTTGAAAACACAAATAAGAGGCATCGTTTTCTTCACGATTTTTAGCCATGTTGATAGTTTAACCAATTGGATTCCGAAAAGAGAGAGCGCTCTCTTTCCGATGGGTATCATATATGTCCAGTTCTACCTAGCTCCTGTGGTATTCAACCCCTTTCCGGCTTTTAGATCACCTGAACACTCCTTTGCGCCTTCAAGATAAACAAAACACACTGTACAAACTGAAGAACCAATCGCAAAATCAAAAGGTATCAGGAACGCCACCAATCAAGTGAGGAAGACGACCAACGTGCCCGCACGCCAAGGGTAAAGGCCACTCCGCTGGCGTGAACACACTGTTCGCAAACGACAAAAGCCTTAGTAGATATCTCGATCATGCAAGATCTGCCACTTGCGATGATACAGATTAATATGCGCCCTCAACGCGTCTGCCGACTCGTAGTTATCCGTCGTCCCCGTCGGCACGCAGAGACAGCACGCAAAAACGTTCCTGTCCGAGTGCGACTTGGCGAGGAACCGGCTCGACATGCGGAAGCCGTCCTTGAGGACAATGTAGTCCTTGTTGCCGGGCAGCAGCGGGTTCCATCGGTACCCGCACTTGCACCGCTTCGGCGCGTCGGGGATCGGCTTGGAGAGGTCGACCTGCAGCGTCATGGCCTCGGGGCAGAACATGCTGAAGACGCTGACTTTGGGGCGGAGGAAGGCGGAAGCGGTGGTGCTGGTCGTTTCTGCTTCCGAGGGCGCGAAGATGGAGACGGCGTCGCTGGCGATGGCTTTGGGCGTTGGTGGTGTCGGTGGAGGTGAGGGTGGTTCTGATTGGAAGGGTGCTTGGTCGGTACTGATGGTCATGGTCATCGACATGTCGTCGTCTTCTTCCTCCTCTTCATCTTCTTTGTCTTCCCCGTCCTCGTCTTCAAAGACACTGCCGTGGTTGTCGACTGGCGAACTGCTTGAGTATTGCGAGATGGGCCTCGTATGCCGTGAGCGCGGCTTGGGGATGGGAAGATGCTCAGGAATGTCTGGGCGTCCGGCAGCGAGACGGTGATATAAGGCAGCGAGGGCCTGGACTGAGGCGATCCTGACAGACTCGGATGTCTGTATGATATCTGAGATGTTGAGAATGCCGGTCAAGCTTGAGTCAGAAGAGACCCTGCGTAGGTGAGAAACCCGGCTACTAAGGTTGAACAGCTGGTTGGAAAGCATATCCCGGCATGGTGCTGTTGAAGCTTTTAGCGTGGCTGCAGATAGATGGAAACGGGTTGCGACGTCGATGGGGTGGACACTCACTGTCGCCGGTGGAGAAGTCGGTTCCAATAAGAACAGTCGCAATGTCATGAGTCTCCTCGATTTGATTCCTCGCGAGCTCCAAAGAGATGCTCAAAGCACACGTAATGACATCCCTTCGAATACCGGTTTCTGATGATTTCCGACAGTAGTGGTTCCCAAGTGTGCGTTTCCTCTTCCAATGGGTGTAATGCTCTGTGCCCTCGGCGTATAACTCCTTGAGAGACGACACAGCCTCATCGACTGTGGTTGCCTCCATTGTTGACCTGTCACTTTGATGGCATGATGGAATGGTGCCGAGAGTAGGTAGGTAATTACGTGAAGGAACTAACTTAGTGCTGAAGGGAGTGAAAGTGACGAGAGGGAGGGAGAGGATCGTCTGGGAGGGAAGGGATTAAGAACGGCAGCCAGCGGAAACCGGATCGGGAAAAGCAATGTTGGCGGGCGGCCGGCAATCAGCTGAATGACCAGGGCGAGCTGAAGCCTGAAGCTTGAAGCCTGAAGGAAGGGAGGACGGGAGAGTTTTGAGACCGGTGGGAAAGGGCAAACAGAGTGCTTATCGGCAGATGGGGGGAACACGACTCAGAACAAGCTTCAAAGCGAGACAACAGATCGAGGGGTGGGTTACCAACAGGTTGGGGCCAAACGGGCGCGCGTATCTGTTGATGAAGTGGGTTTTTTTTCTGGTTTCTTTGATGCTTTGACTCTTGAAGTATTCGTAGGCAAGGTAGGTATGGAGACCGGATACATCATACAGCGTACGGAGTTGGTAGGGAACAAGAGTCTAGAGGGTGTGCTCGGGCTTCTTGGATCGACAGGAAAGCCAGGGAGGAAATGGGGGGAGAGAGATCGGGCGTGGAGCTACGGACACTAGAGCAGAGGAGATGGGCGGGCAAACTTTTTGAGCCAATGTGGCGTTGGCGGGCGTTGAGTAGGCGGACGCCAGGACGCCAATCTCACGACTCGAGGTGCAAGTCGTCCGAACGGGCGCACGGGAACTCGAGGGGGCGGGTAGCCGACATGACATGAGGCATGGGACGGCGTTGGCGACCTAGGCGTAGGTAGACGGAGTACAAAGACGGGGGGCAACGGGCATGGTCCATGGGCAAGGGACATGCAATGCCTGTCAAGTCGAGTTTGGCCAGAGAGTCATGTGCGACGATCTTTTGGATGTGATTCTCGTCTCATCCCGCCGTCAGCCGGCGGATGGTGTGCATGCTGACGATGCCGTAGCTGAGGTTTAGTTTGGTTTTCTTGGGGTCCTTCTTCTGGGGGTTGGTTCTTTCTTTGGGGTCGCGAATGAACGGAGAAAGAGTCGAGAAGGGCGAGAGTGTTTGCTTTTGCTTGGAAAGGACCGGTAGAATTTTCCATGTTGGCAGCTCGCTAATGAGTAAAACATACGGCCAAGCGAGTACACTAGGTACTGTGAGTAAGAATAGGTAAAAATAAGAGGAAATATCCCCGGGACGACTTGTTGTGCTAGAAACAGAGATGGCCAGGATGAATGCAGGGCAATGCAGGCTGGGGCCATAGGAGCATGGGACCAGGCCAAAGCCGCCAAACAAGCATCGCTTCTATTCGTTGGGATAATAATATGCCAGCGTATTGAAGGCGAGGCGAGGCGAGTCGAGGCGAGTCGGAGGATCCCACGCGTGCGGTCCCAATTGGCAATCCGTTGCTGTTGGTGCTGCTGCTGCTGCTGCTGCTGTTGCTGTGCCTGCCGGTCTCCTCAAACGAGCCACCCAATCCCTGATTCCGCGATGGCAAGGTTAAGGTGAAGGTGACAAGACAGAAAGATTGAGAGACTGAGAGTTGGGAGTTTCGTCCGAATGACGACGACATGACAGGGGTCCCGTCCGTTCCCGCAAAAGAGTCAAGAGTTCAGACGTGTCATTCGCGTCAAAGAAAGACGGGCTCAGATGGCACCGATGGCACCTTGGGGATCAAATGCGACCGCGCCGTCTGTGCTCAAGCTTGGGGTGGACACGCCGCACTTTGCAAGTAACCTAGCAGTGCTACGGATACCACCATCATGGCACATGGATCCTGACACCCATCAATCTATCAAAACGGTCAGCAACCTTGCACCTTGTCCGGTTCGCAGAAACTCGACGGGAAATCGACGGCCAGTCCGGTTCAGTCCTGTCTCAGGCGGTCAGTCTGTCTCTGCCACTGTTGACTGTTCCGAGGCAATATAGAGATACGAAAGAGTGATTGAGTGGGAAATGAGTCCATTGAAAAAAGGCTGAAGAGGAAATAGGAAATTAGCGTGCTGACGGGGCGGGCGCTACCAGAGTCTAGGTACGTACTTACCTAACGCCGTCTATCGTCGGTTCATCCGGCGAGCCGGCCCCGAACTGTGGACCCCGTCCTCGGTCTCCCGGCATGGCGATTGGCCCACCACCGCAAGCCATCGCTAAAAGGTACTTTTTGCACAGGTATCTCAGCCAAAGGGTTTCTAGCCTCTCGAGGCTTCCATTGAATCCTCCGCCGCGATCCTCCATCCTCTCAGCCGCCAGCTATCTTTCAAAGTCGTAAAGAACACTCGAGACAGGCACACGCTCCACATCACATGCTAGTCCTTCAACATCACTGTCGCCCCGTCCGCATCGGACCGCCAAGCATCGTGGCACTCCTCCCCTAAAGCTGCTTCAAGACAGCTAGCCTCCGGCTCGAGGCTTCCGCTGCCACGACCACCGCCGCCGCTCATTCACTCAAGTTTACCTCTTACGTACCTGGGCAAGCCATTTCCAACCTACCCCCATCCGGTCTACACGGTTTTATCAGCTCAGCTCAGCTCAGCCAAGCTCAGCTCCACGCTTTCACATGGCCAAGACTAAAGGCAAACAACGTGGCCTGACCAACATGCTTGGAGATCCGGAATAGTAAATCATCGCACAATGCCGCCTCCTCGCCCTCGTCAAACCCGCCAGAGCTGCGACCGCTGCCACGCCCACAAACTGCGCTGTCCAAAACAGCCTGGCAACGCCATTTGCAGCCGTTGCTCTAAGGCCGGAGCCGCATGCGTGTACAGCCCCGTGGGCACGCTACCTGCCTACCAGGACCTGGCTGCACTACCGGGCGATGATGCTCTACCGGTACCCCTTTCAAACGGTGCGACGGACCTAGATTGGGGCAACTTCTCTTTTGATGACATCTTGGGCTTCCCCTCCGTTCAGCCTTGCGGCGTAGCGTCATCTCGCCTTGATCAAGCACCACTGACCCAAGTGTCGGCTGACCCTCGATCTCAATGCTTTGAAGAGCTCTCTGCCATCACGGCCACTCTGGATAGAGCCACGAGGGGACTTCCTCCCATTGACAAATTCCACGTCTCTGGCCCCGATTCCAAAAAGTACTGTCTCGAGATATCCCAACAGTACAGTCACAAAGAGTCCCTAGAACTCCTACTAGCTGAGACCCAAAAGCTGGTCGATGTTTATCCCAAAGCCGTACAACTCGCTCTGGAACATCGCCCAAGCCCCGACTGCAGTGTGCCGAACTGTATACACACCTACAAGTCCATTACCGGTCTCCAAGACGAGCCCTTTGCAAACTCGGCGCAGCTGACATCAAAGATCGACTACCCGCTGCTAAACCTACTTCTCTGCTGCCATTACCGATGTGCCGATGTCGTTGAACTCGTCCTCTGCCACGTCCAGCTGTGTCTCAGGTTCCTCGCCGCCGCTATGCAACACGATGTCCAACCTCACGAGTTTGATGTTCCCGAGCTCAAGATTGGCTCATTCACCCCGTCACGGCGATCATCGCCCTCCATCATCATGGCGATTCTAATCGATCTTCAGTCTTCCCTGGCCAGTTGTGTCCCGCGACTCAGCTCTGCGCTGAACGAGAGGGAAGGGGATTGTGGCAAGGAAGGTCGCATACTTTTGCTTCAATGCGAGCTACTTGCAGAGAGAGCATATTCTATAGTAGACCGTCTCAAAAAGCTAAGAGATACTCTCAGCAATGCAGGGCTTCTTGCGTAGAGTCTATCGTAGCCAAGCGGACGTTAGTGTGCCCAACGAAGTAAACGATTCGCGTTGGCCGCTTGTTCTTATTGAAACCAAACATTAATATCAATCATATTGATATGACGTCGAAGCTATTGGTCTAAAAGAAAGCACGCACGCTTCACGGGTCATCTTCCATTCGTGCGTCGGCAGTTCTGACAATGGCATGGATATCCCTCCATGAAAGGCTTGACAACCCCTCCTCCTTAAACTCATCAACACCTCAAACACGCATCACAGGTGACCTTAAGTTGAGTTGAACCATGGAAACCAATTAGTATTATATATGCCGAGATGCATAGTCATATAGAAGTTGCTCTTCACTGGTTGATTGACTTTATCCGCCGGCTGTTTTATTGACGGTAGGTGAGCTTCCATACAATGTTGCGTTGAAAGACTCTGGTTAATAACCACGATAGCCGCAGCAGATGACCTCTATCTGAATGCCGAACCGCTTCATTGTCTTGCCCAGTCCCTCACGTATAAGACTTCATTCCCTGGGAGTCATCCATCTTGCTTCTGGAGAAAAGTCATTAATAAAACTTCCAATACGCCTCTCACTTACAACGAGGGTTTACGATAGTCTAAGCCATATCTTCAAGTCCAAAAATCAACCCCAACTTTCACGATGAAGATTTGTGCAGCTACTCTGATACTGGCGTCTGTTGTATCGGCTCATTGTGCGTGAAATAAAGCCTAACTTTACGTCAAACCTTTGGACAGAACTAACAAGTACCCAGACGTCTTCCCTTCCGTCACCTACAATGGCAAGACTACAAACGACTGGGAAGTCGTTCGCAAAACAACAAACTTCCAGTCCAACGGGCCCGTTACAGACGTGACTAGCTCCCAGATGACATGCTACCAGCTGGCGCCCGGCAACGAGGGGGCCGCGATTCTCGATGTCACGGCTGGGTCGACCATTGGTTCGTCCAATCTCTTCTTTTCTACCAAAGCACATAAGTGTCTACAAATACTGATACCAGATGAACCAGGGTACAACGCCAAAGCGTCCATATCCCACCCCGGACCCATCAACTTTTACATGGCCAAGGCGCCCTCCGGAACAAGCATCACAAACTGGGACGGCTCCGGCAAGAACTGGTTCAAGATCTACAGCGACGGCCCCACAGTCACCTCCAGCGGCCTGACGTGGCCGACAAACGGTATGAAAAGGATCCTCTCTCTTTCAATCACTATTACGAAGAAGGGGGATTTGATGCTGATGCTACTTTCCTTCAAGGTAAGG